GGGGGTGGGGGACCCGTGTTTCAGAGAGTCTGGATTGAAATATATTCCATAGTTTATTTTTCTCTATCTGGACATATGATTTGAGGCAGTTCTTTGAAACTCATCTACTACCAAATTTTGAGTAATTGTTGAGAGTGAATGGGGATGGAAACAATGGAGGAAAATGTCGAGTCAGTGAGATCAACAAATGAGTCTATGTATTTGCTGCAGGCAGGTTACAAAATTTATTCTGAGCTTCCTAGTGGCCAAAGAGAAGAGGGAAATGCAGTCATTAACTAGGTTCATTGTCCATAAATTGTGTCTGTGGGGGTGGGGGGGGTACACACACACACACACACACACACACACACGCACACACACGTGTCTTTTAAGTGAAATAAAGCATAGATATATTGTCCTCCTACCGGGGCCTCAGTAGTGGTATAGCAGTATTGCCTTGATGGCCGGAGTTCAATTCCCGGCCAGGGAGCTGACCCACATGGCACAGCAGACCTCTCCTATCTTGCCTACTGCCCTCCTCAGCAGTGTATTTCAGTCATTCCTCCTGTTCTCCCCACTCTGTCTCTGGTGAATCCTCTTACCCCCCATACCTCTGGCCTATAGCTCAGTTTTTATTTGCATAAATAATCAAAAATAAAACTTAGAAGAAAAACAAACTGTCTTCCTCCCTAGGTGGCCTCCATATATGGTGAGAATTTTCTTGAGGAGCTCTGGTAAGACTTAGTCTCTGTTTAAAGAGCTGGTGGCCTCATTTGGCTCTTGAAGCTAGGGTGCAGTCAGTTCTCAGTGGTGCCTCCTGCTTTGGCAACAATCCCATGATAAACTGGCCAGATGACTACCCAGAATTCCTACAGCTACAGTCCAGCACTAGGATGACAATGTGACCATAGGGTGGTCAGTACTCCTCTCTGAGCCTCAGCTTCTTATGTGCCAATCTACGGAGTTGCTCAATCTCGATTGTGCTTAGTCCTCATTGTGATAAGTGCAGACACTGCTGGTTACCCCTGGCCTTGTGCGTGTATTCCTGTCCCAACTGGCAAGGAAGGTATAGAAAAACACTTTTATTTTAAAGATTTATTGAATTTACTTATGCATACAAGAGCTGGGGTATAGGCCAGAGATGCAAAGTGGGGGCTGGTTGTGTGTGAGACGATTCGCCCGAGACAGAGCTGGTAGCAAAATAAGTAGGTCTACTAAAATACACTGCTGAGGGAATAGAGTTCTCCTGGCCAGAGATTGAACTCCCCATAGCTTCGTAGTGCTGAGACTTAACCCCTTCTGCCACCAGGGAAGCCTGAAATACACCCTTTTCAGGGTGGTCTGCCTGCATTGTAATTCCTTCCCCTACCAGACCAAGAGCTCCTGAAAGACAGGTAGAGGGTCTTGTTCACTTCTGCATGCCTGGCATCTTGGCATACAGTATTGATTGCTTGAATGAATGAATGATGAGTGTGGTCTCTCCCTACAGGATAGAACACCTGGGACTCAATGTGGTGCTGCAGCTCCTGGTGGGGGTGCCCCTGGAGATGGTGCATGGAGCAACCCGCATTGGGCTTGTGTACGTGGCTGGTGTTGTGGCAGGTAGGCAGGTGGGCCTCGTGTCCACTGGAGTAAACCTCCCAGGGGTGGGCCTCCCTGGTGGTGCATGGGTTAAAGTCTCAGCACTATCAAGCTGTCACCAGCCACTGCAGCATGAGTTTGACCCCCGGCCAGGGAGGTGACCGACATGGCACATCAGACCTCTCCTGTCTCACCTGCTGCTCCCCTCAGCAGTGTATTTCAGTAGATCTGTCTGTTCTGCTCCCCACTCTGTCTCTGGTGAATCCTCACATTCCCCCCACCCCCTAAAGACACACACCTCTAGAGGGCCTACACCCCAGTTCTTGTATGCATAAATAAATAAATCTTTTAAAAAATAACAAAAAGTTAAGCCTCCCAAGGGTGTCTGGGAGACTTCATGAGGTCAGTTAAACACCAGGCTTTCGGGGCGCAGCGAGGCCTCATCACGAAGGCACCTGACTGCTAGCGTGGTCCTCCAGGCAAATCTCCCATCTTCCCTGGGAGACTGGAAAGGGGTTTGCTACCCAGACAGGGAGGCCTGTGATGGCAAAGGAGTAGCAAGGAGACAGACTGGGATTTCTGCCTTTTTACCACTGTTTGTAAATGTGTGAGTTTGGGGAAATTCCTTAACCTCTCTTGGCCTTTTAAGCTTAAAGAGGGAAACAGTAAATCTGCCTGTAGGATGTTAGTAGTGAGTGAGAAGAGAGGAATAACAGTGTTACGTAAACTGCAAAGTCACAGTGTTGTCCAGGGTGTGGGTGGAGCCAGGTACCTCTCCTGGCCAGGCCAGCTTCTGAACCCAAAGGGAGCTCTTACTCTGCCCAGGCCACCCACCGTCCCCTGGAATGACTCACTGCTAACAGAAGAGTCTAGGAGCTGCTGAGCCAGCTAGAGGAACCTGGGCCCCAGAGGACTCGGGATAGCAGCCACAGCTTCTCAGATAGTGGCCAGAATGACTCCCACCATGAGGCAAACGGAGCCGGAGAGAGCAGAGCAGATTTCTGCAGGGAAAGTGCACAAACTGGACTTCTGAACAGAGGAATCTCCTTTGTGATGTTTCCCTTTATTGCTAGATTTTTTTTTAGACATGGTTTGCCCCCTCAGCTCTTCACCTTGATAGCCATGCCTAAGGGAGCCTTGTATGTATGTTTAAATAAGATCTTAATCCTTTCTGAGTGGCATTAAAGTTGTCATCAGGAGAGGCAGTGTCAGCCTCATAAACAATGGGCAGGCAGGATCCCTGGCAGTGACTGAAACCGTTTCAGGGATGGAGGAGAGATGACCCCACCCCACTCTCCCCTAGTTCAGAACCTTCAACCCCCAAGATCAGCTCAGCACCATCTCCTTCACTCTCTGTGCTGAGCTCAAAAACATCAGCCACCTTGGACAGCAGCCAGTGAGCACCTCCCAGAACCCAGCACCTTCCATATCCTGGAACAGATTTCCTGAGCATCTCTTTGTGCTAGTCTTAACACTCAGCCGCACATACACCCGAGTCCTGACATCTGGGAATTTATAGCCACATTTTCCGTAGCAGATACCCAGAGACCCAGATGGTTAATGGCAAGGAACAGGAAAGACACTCGTTAACACTCACAGTTTGTAGTCAATTAGGTGGGCGTGCCAATAACCCCAAAGACAGAAATAAGATCAAAATGACTCCCTAAAACCAGCTGACGCGCAGCCAGGAGATAGCTCAGGTATCACTTCCCTGGGGGTGGTACCTAGGTGGAAGCGGGGTTCGCCTGCTAAATGAGAGGTCTGTGCTATTCTGTCTGAGTCATTGAATCAGACCAGAGGGCACTGCGGTCACTCCAGTAGACACATATCATATTATTGATCTCCAGGATAGAGTTGATTGATCTGCCTGCACTGCCCGCCTCTTCCTCCATTTCTACCCCATAGATAGCCCTCATTGCAAGGGGGCAAAGGGGGTGATAGAGAGTGAGACCCCCATAGTCACTGGGTAGCCAGTGACTATCAAGTCCCTGCTGTGTGCCGGAGTATCAAATCCTCACAACCCCATGAGGCAGGTCTCCTCACTTACCACCTGTCACCGAAGCCCAGGCTGAGATAGGTAAATGACCTGTTCAGGAAAGCACAGATGTCAGTGGTGGAGCTGGGCTCAGCCCCGACTATCTGATACCAAAGGGCATGATCTAAATCACTCCCATAGTGTTATGAGAGCTGAAGGTGGCCCTTTCTGTTCAGTTTATTGCAGAAACCAAGGGAGGTCTTAATAGACTTCTGGCCCTGCTCTCTAATTCTTGCGCAGTGGAAATATTCTAAGCCCAAGGACCTCAGGTTTGTAACAATGATCACTCACCTCTGCTGAGCCTATCAGTACCCCAGAACATGCGAGAAAGGACACGTGAATTTATCTCCTGTGTTCATTATGACAGTCTTAGGAGTGGGGCGCTGCCCCCACTGTTTCCCAGGAAGTTGAGAGAAGTGATAGGACTTGCTCAGTTTGCTCAGCTGAGAAGTCCTAGAGTTGGGATGGACACCCTGCCTCCGGCTTGTGCTAATCAACGCTTGAGGCCACTGTGTAGCTACTGCTGGCTAACAATTTCAGCCCTGTAAGAGCCAGCATTTTAAATGTTCCACCAGGCTTGAGTGTAAATTATAAGCCACAGTGTGTACATACCTGGAGTTTGGTGTAGGGTTTGACACGTGTTAAACACATATTTGTAAAATAAATGAAAGAATACATAGGTAAATAAAATTATGTTGCTTAAAGGTAAATATTCTGCCAATTTGCATTTGAATTTTTTTTAACCTGCCAAGGGAGATGTTAAAGAACACCTGCTTTAAATTTTACAGGCTAAAATCATCACAGCTGAGCATTATGGCAAATCACCAATGTACCTGCCTGCCGGCATGGACCCAGAATTTTTGGGGACAATTCATAGCCCTGACTAGAAGTGGTCATTGGCCTGCTGCTGTACACAAGTGGTGTGTCACCCCAGCTTGCCATTGTTTTATCCCAATTTCTGTGACCAGCTTCGAGGAAGAAAGACAGGAGGCAGAAAGGCTGAGCAAGTAGAGTTTATTGCTCTGGGGCAGCAGCTAAGACGGAGCTCGCTAGGGTGGGGTCAGCAGCTACTGCCAGAGCTGTAGGGGAAAGTGTCTCTTATATAGGCTTTAGGTTCAGATTCTAGAAAGGTGACGTGTCGCTGTGTACCTGGATTCGAGGCCCAGTTCGTTCCGGTCCTTGTATTATTGCTGTATCTGTTCACACAGGTATCTTGTATTATTACTGCCCCTATCTGGTCACACTCTACAGCCATTCCCTCTAGTCCTCTGACCCTACCCCCTTCATGGAATTCATACTGACCTTACTATACTGTCATCAGTTGGGTTCGGAAAGGCCTCAGGAACCCTGCCTTTATTAATTAATCTTTTCAGGCATGACCCAGGCCCTCTGGGTCCCGTCTGGAAAGACTTTATGCCACAAGTGGTGGGTAGGTGGGTCCAGATTGTTACCCCCAGAATTCTAGACCAGGATCTGAGCCTGAGACTCTGTATCTTAGGCCAAAACTCAGATTACTGAATATCTCAAGTGGAAGGAGCCTTCACACTTCCTTCCATGAGTGATGGGTGTTGCTCCCAGGCCCCACCCCCAGCAGCCAGAATGTTCTCTGTGCTCCACTGTGTGGGCCAGGGGTTCAGATAAAGTTTCCTTTGAAAACAGGGTTTCACTACTTAAATGTTGGAAAATCTTAGGCTTCCTTGTTTCACAGATGTGAAAACTGAAGCCCAAAGAATTCAGGGCTGTGCCCAAGGTCACACAACTAGCCAGCCACACCCCCATTTCATACTCCTGCCACAATCCCACATTGGCCCCTAACCCAGGGGTCAGGCCTCCCATCCATGGGTGAGGTGAGGGAAAGGTCACTGTGTGGAGGCCAGGCCCCCTCAGAGGCTTCCTGACGCCTCTCCCCTGCTGAGCTGGGCTGGGGAGGCCTAGGGAGCAGACGCTGGGCGGGCGGGCATGTCGGGATGCAAGCTGAAGAAAAAGGCCAGTCCCCAGAGGCTGGGCTTCCTCTGTCCAAAGGGTAATTAATGAGGAGCGGCTTGGGCATCCAGGCCTCCAGCCCTGCACTGCAGCCTTCCTAGCCAGCGCCAGGAGAGCGTGGGAATCCTTTGTCATGCAGATCCCCGTGCCTGTCTGGTTGCCACCCTGGGTTGTTTTTTTTTTCTGTTATACATGGCTGACCCTGTGGCTAGGCAGTTAAAAAAAAAAAAAGTTATCTGACAATAGATCAATACCTAATTAAAGCCAGAGGGAAAGCATGAAAGGGGAGAAGAAAGATTTATAGTTGCCCTGGGAGGGGAGAAGGACTTGGGAGTTCTCAATTCGTGACAGTTTGTTTTTTCCTGAGAGATTACATCCCCCTTGAGACCAAGAATCTGTTGTGAGGATCGCTCCCTTGAAGGAGCCTGTGAGCTGGGAGAGGCAGGGCGGCCTGGGGAAGGGAGAAGGTGGTGCTGTCACAGGGGTGCTCTCCCAGGCTCTCCAAGTAGCAGGCCTCCTTCCTACAGAGCCTGCAGTCTGGCCCGCCTGTGCCCCCTCTCTCCACCCAGGCGGCAGCTAATTGGCGCAGGAGCCTGTGGGTATTTTCCAGCGATGATTTCTGCACACTCACCCAGGCCAGTCACCTCTCATCCTCCGAGCCTTGGGCTCTACCTCCTAGTTATTTTTAGTCTCCCATGTCCTTCCCTGGAAGCCAAAGCATTGATCACACTTAAATGAGACCAAAACAATACATTTCCCATCTCCTCTCTGCCCAGCTTCCCTCCCAAGACAAAAGTTTGTCATCCCCCCAACCAAGAGTCTCTACCCATCCCAGAGGGAGTGACATCATCTCTCTTGCTGGAGGTTTTTCAAGGACATTTTTTCCTCCAGAGAAACCCCTGCTCAGGAGATCCTGTTGGCCTGTTGTACTTTCACTCTGCAGGAAGCAGATTGGAGGTGCAGCTAAGCAGGTTTCTGGAGCTCCTGAGCAGAGAGCAGCCACGGAGGCTGATGGTTGACCTGGTATCTGTTTGAGGAGAGATGCACCTGCCTGCTGGGGAGACTGGGAGCACAGGCTTTGTGTCACACAACTAGCCAGCCACACCCCCATTTAATACTCCTGCCACAATCCCAAAGTGGCAGGCAGATCTGGCCTCAGGTCCTGGTTCCAGCCCTTCCTACCAGGTGACTCTGGGCTCAGTCTCCTCATCTCTGCAGTGAGACAATCAGCAGCTGCCTCAAAGGGCTTCCTTGAGGGTGAGAGGGGAAGAGCATCTGTAAAGTGCCTGGCCAGTGGTTAGCCCAGGGCACCCCCTCAGTGCTCGCTGTTTCTGCACCAACTACTGCTCTATTTCTGTTCTTGCTCCAGAGCCCTGAGATAGCACAGTGAGGCAGAGGCTGCACTGAGACACAGATGGTCACTTCTCTCCGCCGAGTCTTTGTCTCCCGTGTTTAAAAAGACAGGTTTAAGGAAAATGGCCTTTTTGCTGTCATGCCCTAGGAGGCTCCCAGACGGGATAGGGCCATAGGAGGAAGAGAGCCTTTTGCTCTGGGGTCTTATCCTCAGGCTGCAGCACCCAAGGGCGTGGGGTTGGAGTAAGAATGTGACTGCAGCATGCTTAAATCCTCACTTTCTGTCTGAACCAGGGTCCCTGGCAGTGTCTGTGGCTGACATGACCGCACCAGTCGTGGGCTCCTCTGGAGGGGTGTACGCACTCGTCTCTGCCCATCTGGCCAACATTGTGATGGTGAGCACCTCCTGTCTCAACGCGCCTTTCTCGGTCTGCCCTCTGCTTCCCTCAGCCCGGACACTCACCTGCTGGAACTGGGCTTTGATCCTCATCCAGCCTCCAGCCCTGGGCCCATAAGCAGTAGGCAGACCTGCCCAGTACTGAGTGCAGAAGCTTCTGGACTCCCAAGGCCTATCTCATCGGGGGCCCTTCAATTCAATTCATGTTTTCTCCACCATGATTTTGCCTAGGAATCTGCCTGTCTCCCTACTTCCTTTTACTTTTCGCACTCGGTGACCTTAAAAAGTGTTAAAATTCCTCACCACTGGAATGAATAATTTTAATTTGTTGTTTGTCATAGATGGCATGATCCATGAGATGATCTCATCACATTTCTCAAACTGGAAAGGAGACTCTGGGAGGTTAAGTGATTTATCCAAAGTCACAATCAAGTTTGTGGCCAAATGGGGACTTGAACCTACAACTCCTGACAACAGCTCAAGTATTGTCTCCCTGTAGCCGGCCCTCACGGTGACAGGACGTGGCCGTTCCATTTCTCATGCGCTCCCTTTCCTAGAAGGCAGTCTAGTGAAACGTGTAGGCTACAGAATCAGTCAGCCTCGGTCTGGGTCCCAGTGGCCCACTCCCTAAGGCGTGACCATGGACAGATGAGACTTACCTGCTTGTGTCTTGGTTTCTTCATCTGTGAGATGAGATGATACACAATAACCACTCTGTCTAAAAGTTAACTTAATTCCCTTGCACTCCCAGAAGTGGTCAGGGTGACCTCAGGTCAGAGACGGGATCACTGACTGTGCTTGGCTTCTTCTGCCGGACACCCCTCTGGCCTGGGGAGCTTCCAGACAGGGCCCAGGTCTCACTCACCTGCTTCCCCAGTGTCTGGGAGAGGTGGAGTGCCTGGTTGATGGAGCCTACTAAATGCTGGTGAGGGAATGAACAATGTCCAGAAAAGGGTTCCGACTTTTTCTCCCTGCTCTCACCTCCAAGTTCCATCACTGTCTTCACTGACTTGGTTGCTGGGTGAAGCTTGGTTGCAACACTTTTTGGAGTTCCTCAATTACCCCATTTTCTTTTTATTATTGCCATTCTCACCTGCCCCACTCCTCAACACCATGCCTCTTATTTTTACCAGAGAAATACTTTTTATTTATGGGTAGAGAGAGACAAGAGAAAGGGGGAGAGATAGGCAGATACTGCCCTGACTACTTGCCTGAATCTTGGCAACTTCAGATGAGCACTTGGAAAGATACAGCAGGTGTGGGAAAGCCTGTGTGAATGTGCGAGTCATGCGTGTGTGTTTACTCACACATGTGTGCACACGCACGGACGTACACATTCACGCAGCACAGCCTGCTGAGAGCCCAGGTGCACGGCTACCTCACATGGCCCTCTTAAATGGGTCACTCTGTATCAGTGCCACAGCTTTCCCCAGACACAGCTTTTCCTCGGATTTCTGCCTCCTCCACTGCCTCCTCCCCCTGCCCCAATTCCTTTCTGTAGTGGAAGGAAATGCTAACCTTCCCCTCCCTTTTCCCCCAAGACGTGTATGTGAGTAAGGAGATGAGCAAGCACAGCTAAGTGAATGTGAGAAAGAAGAAGCAAACAGTAGATTGTAAAGACGCCCCCGGTTCTACCCCTTCCCATGCTATGGGAAACAGCCGTGATGCCCCAGAAGTTCCTGTGGTGAGGGCAGACCTCCCCAAGACCCGGGAGTGGGGCTTAGGGGTTGAGAAGGGAAGTGTGAAAACAGTTTTGTTCCAGATTGCTCTGCTTGCTGGCAAGCATCCAGTGCCTTATGGGGATGACTGGTCCAGCCCTTCCAGAAGAACACGGCTTTAGGCCTGGCCATTGGGTGCTTGGAAAGCCCAGAGCATGATACCATATTCCTTCTGGAGAAGTTGTGGGGTGCTTATTTGACAGTGACAAATGCATTAGGAGGGCTGGCTTCCTTTCATCAAGAGGCTGCCTTTACCTGGATTAGCTCAGTGCCCAGCAACTCAGAGATGTGTTGGACAGAACGCATGAAATTGCATCTCCATAGGTCAGAAGCACTTAGACAGTGGCAGTTTCACCCATGGTTCAACCTAATGGATATACTGTTTTTAATTCCAAAATGAAGATTTTCTGTGTGTGTGTAGACAATAAGGCACCTCTCTGGATAGAAAGCATGGCCAGGGCAGCCAGGATTTCAGTGTGCTGTCACTGTCATAATAGCTGTGATGCCTTTACTTCTCCGGGTTTGTTCTCTTGTTTGTGATCTTTTCTTCACAAGGTAGATAGGAGAATGTCATGGAATAACTGGAAGTGGAAATGCTTTTCATGTGACAGGTCCCCACACAGCTTTGAGCTGCCTCATTTCTCCAATCCATTATTCCTTCCAATAAAGTGAGCAGGTCCCCACACAGCTTTGTATGTGTCTATACCTATAGACATGTAACTTCTTTTTAAAGATTTATATATTTATGCATACAGAACTGGGTACAGGCTGAATGGAGGTGCAGGGGTGGTGAGAGGACTCACCAGAGACAGAGCAGGGAGCAGAATAGGCAGATCAATGAAGTATACTGCTGAGGGGAGAAGTGGGCAGATCAGGAGAGGTCTGCTGCTCCGTATGGATCACCTCCCTGGCTGGGAATCAAACTGCTGAAGCTCTGCAGAGAGCTTCATAGTGTTGCACTCATAACCTGTTGTACCACCAGGGAGGGCCCAAAATATGTAAGTTTTTTGATCTTTGTACATTTTACCTAAAAAGAGAACAATCAGGAAACATGTCCTTTTCGCCTCAGATACATAATAGGAAAATGCTTAACACTGTTCTCAGGCTTATCTATTTTGTTTTTCATTTTTATTTATATATTTTTACATCATTGTTCATTTTTGTAGTGTTTGATCTCTCCTCTCAGATGTTATCTCAGGCTTATCTGTTTCACTGCCTTGAATGAAATGATGTCTCATTTTTCATGAAAACATAGTGTGTTTCAAAATGCTTGCAACTTAATCAAGGGATTAAATTCAGAAACAATTGCAACAAAAGGTCTGGTCGGCATAAAATACCTACAGTCAAGGGCCTCCCTGGTGGTCTAGGGGTTAAGTCTCAGCAATGTAGCCTGAGTTTGATCCCCAGCCAGGGAGGTGACCCACATGGCACAGCAGACCTCTCCTTTGTCTCATCTGCTGCTCCCCTCAGCAGTGTATTTCACTCTTCCTGTTCTGCTCCCCACTCTGTCTCCTGTGAATCCTCTCACCTCCCCGCTCTCTGGCCCCCACCTCTGGCCTACACCCTAGTTCTTCAATGCAAATAATAAATAAAATGAAAATGAAAAGACCCAATAGTCAAGAATTCTTATTGTAAGCAGTAGAGGTATAAAGATATACATTACTTATTAATTGCCTTTTGCTGGAACTTTTAAAAATATAAATATTTACTTACATTTTGCTCCATGTCAGAGATATTTTCCTAAAATGTTTGAGATCCAAATTTTACAACTGACCCAAGGAAAAATAGTCTAAAAGATAGAAAATACCTCTGTGTTGTAAGGTTCATTTTATTAAGTAATAATCCTTCCATAAGACAAATAATTGATCTCTAATTTATCTGTTATACTTACCCTTTTTCTGCATTGGGTTTTCTTGAAGTCATTTGATAAGAAACTGTGTCTATCCAGTGTGTGTAAAGCTGTATTGGAATGGAAACTCCAGGCCCCGGGGTTCAGCCTCTGGTCTCTTAACTCCTTGGGTGAGGAAGAAGTGTTACTGCCTGGTTTGCTGTGGGTCTCACCCTGTGAGGCTCTGGGAGAGAATGAATTAAAAGGACTGCAAAAGGTTTGTATTCCCCAGGGGCCCGCGGGCTTTTCAGCATTGATGGTTTTGCAGTACCACTGTGAGTAAGGTTTTTTCCTTTTCTCCTGTTGTTTCCCAGTGCTCACTTTATTGGAAGGAATAATGGATTGGAGAAATGAGGCAGCTGTTGGGAAGGGTGATTTCTAGTTTAACCCCTCAGCTGCTGACATTGCTTGGCCTTGGGGACAGCCAGAGCAGCCATCAGGGACAGAAGTGGACCTGTCTCAGAAGTGTGGGTGGACAGAGCCCTGGACTGGGAACCCGATCAAGCTCATCAACTCAGGGTAACCCTGAAGTGACCTTCCCAAACCCTCAGTTTTCTTTCCTTAAAGTGCAGAAGCACGAGTGGCTGGATTCTCCTAACAAAGTCCATGGTCTTCAGGACCCAGGCAGGGATTTCAAATGCAGCTGACCTGAGGAGAGCTGTGGCAAATCTGGGGCTCCCTGCTCTATGCACTGTCTGAGATGCAGAGGTTACAGCCTCTCTGCATGGCAAACAGGCAATCTCTGTGTCATGTCTAGATATTAATATCAGACACTTAAATGATGCTCACTGCATGCCAGGCAGCGTTCTTGGTGCTTTCTGCGTATTAATTCATTTTATCTTCACAACAACCCAGTGAGGAGGTAATTGAATTAGGCATGATCACGAGCTCAAATTTATAAGTGAGGACCCTAAAGAAAAATTCCAAGCCACCCCACTGATGCTCTTGAGAGATCAAAAAGATGGATGGTGCTTTCTGAAATGAAACCCAGGTAGGGCCTGGGAATGGGTGGGACCTGGGCTAAAGTACATTCTAGACCTGCTTGGTCCAAATCATCGCTTAGTAAACAGTGAAAGAGATGCTGTCTTCAGGTAAGGTATTTAGAGAACTTTTCTAAAGAAAAGGGGGTAGTGGGAGTGTTCTGTCTCATGTTTGGTGTTTGTTTTTCACTGTAAAACATGCATCGCCTAGAATTTATCATCTTGACTCCTTTTCAGTGTACTGTTCATTAGTGTTAAGTACATTCGTATGGTTGTCCAACCATCACCACTGTCGACCCACAGAAGGCTTTTACCTTACAGAATTTAAACTACCCACTAACAATGGCTCTCCCCCCACAGCAACCATCTGTTGCTAAGATTTTAACTACTCTTAAGTAGCTCCTGTAAGTGGAATTCTACAGTGTAATATGTGTCCCTTTATGACTCGCTTTATATCCTTCAGCAAAATGTCTTCAAAGTTTGTTCAAGTATGTGTCAACACCGTTCCTTTTTAAGGCTGCATAATATTCCCTTGTCTGTATATAAACTTGACTTGCCCATCTGTGAATGGGCAACTAGAGTTGCTTCTGCTTCTTGGTTGTTGTAAATGGTATTCTGTCAACATGGGTGTCACTTTTAAGGGAGAATTAAGGTCCGAGGGTGAACATGAGAAGGAGGCAGAGCCTGGCAGAAAGAACTTCCAAGGATTGAAACCCCTTCACAAGATCACTGCAGCATGTAGCAAGCTCCTGTTGCAGAGGCGGGAGCGCCCTTTTTGTGTCCCTGTAGGAGGAGATGGTCCACCAGGTGACTCCAAGGGTCCCCCTATCTTAGCGGTTCAACCCATGCCCACCATCAGTGAATGAATTGAGCTGGCTGGGTTGGGGTGCTAAAGAGAGTAGGGGACTCCAGCTCCCATTTTATTTTCGTCTCCTGGCAGGGTTCTCTTGTGGGCAGACGTCAACAGGTGACTATGATGTCCTGCCATCTGCTTCTTAACACAGATCCATGTGAGCAAGCTGAGATCAGACTTTTCCCACCTAGAGGGGCCATGTGTCACCCGCCTCACCTTTGTGAAGCAGTTGCTAGTAAAAGGAATAATCGGGGTGTCAGGGGGTGCCAGATGCTGAATGTTACGGGATTTCTTCCTCTTGACAGCTTCCCTGCAGCCCACTTGCTCAGTTCAAGCTTCTGTAGCATTATCGTATATGCCAGTGTTCAGGACCTACATGAAGTCTCACGTGTGAGTCTCCTTAATGTCAAAGGAGTGTGAGACGTGACCCCAGTTGGCCCTGCGCCAGGCAGCAAAGGCAGATTGGGTGGGTGAGAGGAAGCAGACACCGCTGGTGGTACCCATTTGCCTCCTTCCCTGGAGCTGATGTGTTCCAAGAGGATTCCAGGCTGGCTTCTGGTGTGCCTCTGTTTAAAGGGAGTGGCACTTTGAATGCACTGCAGGAGGGCCCCTCAAAGGAACCCCGTGGCGAAGTCTTTTGTAGAGTGAAAAATCCTTTTATAAGATGAATAATTGTACTCTGTTTATCTGCTTTGGAGGTTCAGAATGTTCAGAGATTCTCAGGGGAAAGGGATTTGTCTGAAGGCCATCTGGTCCTCCCCCCCTTTCCAATCCCAGTTTTCTAGAGCATCCCCTCCACGCCATGTGGACCCCTCAATCATGGGAAACTCAGAGTCCCCCAGGATGGAGGATTCCATCTTCAGACAGCTTTCCTTGTGTGAAACAGAAACTTATCCTGAGCTAAAATACAAACAAACCTCTCTGAAGTTTTCGTCTGAGGAGTCTTCCACCTGCTGGTCACAGAGAAGCGCCTCTCCTGCACTGGCTCACTTGATACCTTGGCCCTAGGCACCTGACCCCTGTGTCTTCATTTGATCTACATGTGCAGGGCTGCGAGTTCTTTCATCACCCTGGTGGGCCTGCTTGGACTTTGCTGTCCTGCACCCCTTTGCAAGCATGGGGCCCCTGCAACTGCTGCAACTCTCAGGCACCATCTCTCATGCGGGGGAGAAGGGCTCTCTCTCTAGATCAGATTCTCTTCCTCTGTCAGTGCAGCCCCAGAGCTTTCATGGCGACAATAAATTTACCATTGCCTGAAGTCTCAGCGCCATTTACCATTGCCTGAAGTCTTAGCTGGTGTGATCCCAGCTAAGCCATAAGCCCCTCAGGTAACACTTAATGGAGTTTATTTATATACTTATTTATTTTAAAAAATACACCAGCAGAGCTATTTATTTAAGGATGATGGTTTTGATCCTTGTTTTTAAATAATTATTTATTTATATATTTTTTCTTTTTTTTACAATGTTTGCTTTCTTTTCTCAAATGTAGTCTCCAAAGAATTTCTACCACCAGTTCACACCGTAGTCCCTTGTGCTCTTTCTGCTCTTATTTTGATCCCTTCCCTGCAGAATGTCTCTGGCTTTTTTAAATATATATAGATGTATGTATTTTATGCATACAGAATTGCGGTATAGACCAGAGGTGCAGGGGCTGTGAGAGGATTCACCAGAGACAGAGTGGGGAGCAGAATAGGCATATTGAAGATGTACACTGCTGAGGGGAGCAGTGGGCAGGTCAGAAGAGGTCTGTTGTGCCATGTGGGTCAGCTCCCTGGCTGGGGATTGAACTTACTCTACAGTGGCTGCCGCCAGCTTCATAGTGCTGTGTTTAACCCATTGCACCAACAGGGCCCTGTCTCTGATATATCGTTGTCTGTTTATTTTTGTTCTGTTGTGTTGAGATTTTTGCTGTTTTTTCCTTACTCCCTTATATGGAGATTATTTATTTAAACATCAAGTTTTCTTGAGCGAGAGACAGCTCACTGCCTACATATATATCTATGCAGGCCTCCCTCTCTTTCCTTTTTTTAATTTTCCTTACTAAACTTGTGGTGTGGGCCTCCCTAATGGTGCATGGGTTAAAGTCTCAGCATTATGAAGCTATCCACAGCCACTGCTTCTTGAGTTCAATCCCCAGCCAGAGAGCTGACCCACATGGCACATCAGACCTCTCCTTTCTCACCGTTTGCTCCCCTCAACAGTGTATTTCAGTCAGTCCTGACTGTTCTGTTCTGCTCCCCATTCTGTGTCTGGTGAATCCTCTCATTGCCCAGCCCCATTTTCCTCCCCGCCACCCCCACCTCTGGCCCATTTCCCAGTTCTTGTGTGCATAAATAAAAATAATTATTTTTTAAAATAAATAAATAGGGCCCTCCCTGGTGGTACAATGGGGTAGGACACAATACTTCAGTGCGAGTTTGATCCCCAGCCCAGAGGTGACCCACCTGGCACAGCAGACCTCTCCTGACCCACCCGCTGCTGACCTCAGCAGTGTACTTCGTGGATCTGCCTGTTCTGCTCCTCACTTTGTCTCATGTGAATCCTCTTACCACCCCTGTACCTCTGGCTTGTACCCCAGCTCTGTATATAAATAAATAAATAAATCTTTTTAAAAATTAAATAAATAAACAAACTTGCCAAGTGCTAGGAGGGAAAACAGTTTTCCATGATGGCCTGATTTAAAATTGATGCAACTCTTTCCTTTCCCCCTAGAATTGGTCAGGCATGAAGTGCCAGTTCAAGCTGCTGAGGATGGCTGTGGCCTTGATCTGTAGTAAGTATCTGAGGGGAGGGAGGCAGGCTGGGGAAAGGGAGTCCTGCATCAGGCCCAGGATGGCATGTCCCTGTGTTACAGGGCAGGGAGAGGGACACAGTTGAACCCCCAAACCTGCCTGCTCTAAATGCCATCCGTTGCCTCAAGACAAAACGTGTAAGACCTTTAATGGAAAGGAACTTTAATACAATCTGTGCAATACAGTAAACATAAACATTATAGTTTCTAAATCAAACACCTGAAGTTACCCATCCCCTCATGGGTAAAAGTCCACCCAAAAGGGATTGGCCCAAAGCAAGGCCTGAAAGCCTGCCACACGTTTAAAGCACCTTCTGGCCGGGACGCATAGAAAAGGGTCAGAAATGGCCAGACAAGTTTGGGAGAAAAAGAGCAAAATCAAAATCTAGATAAACACCGCCGTAGTGAACCCCCCCACAGGTCTCTCACCCACATCTGTTTCAACCAGTCCAGGACTGAGAAACAAGAGCCGCTTCCTCACATGTCTCTGCTCCATGTGGCTCCCTCAGGTCTCCTCTGGTTCCCTCCTGCTTCCTTCTCCCTCAGTCTCCTCTCCAGATTCTTATCCTCCCTGCTCAGCAACACTGTCCTTCTGGGTGGGGCAGGAAACCTGGAACCTTCCCTTTTCCTGGGGATCACCCTCTTACACCTGCCCTTTCGGGGCTCCTGAGCATGAAAACAAGAGCAGACAAGTCAATAACAGGGCGAGAGGAGTCTGCTGTTTTGCTGCCACTTTGGCCCTCAGCTACTTTCTATGGTCATACACTGTGCCAATGGAGCAGTACATACAGGACAAACTCAAGCACCCAGATCAAGAAAAATAACCCTTAAGACCAATCTTTTGGGATCCCTTGATAGAAACTAGGACCTTCCTCCCCAGAAAAATACACATATGTGCACCTGCGGGCTTGCTCACACAGTCTGCGGGTTTAGCAGGTGCACAAAGTGTAAGTCCTCCAAACACTGGCAGGGGGGTGCCTGGTTGGGAAGAAGTCAGGACCACTGCAGAGGTTATTTTGAGTGTTAAAGACAGACAGGAGGGCACGGTGTAGGCAAAATCCAAAGGCATTTCCAATAAAGGTGCCGCATGAACACAGACACGGGTGGATGAAGTGATGTTAGCAAACCTGACATGAGATTTGGGTCTGTGAGAGACTGATGAGAGGGAATAGAGTGAGGTCATGAAAGGCTTGAAATGCAAGGAGAAACATGTGACTTCATCCTGAATGCCTGGAGAGGCCACTGGAGGGCTTTACACAGGAGAGGTACTGACAGGTGTGACTTGCAGGACACCCGTATGGGGCTGCAGTGTAGAGAATGAGTTGACTAGGGGATGAGACCAGAGGCCACGAACTCTCTCTGATAGAGAAAAAGCTGAGTTGGAACAGAAGCAGCAGAGGGAGGGAGAGACAAGGGGCACAGATTATGTCATGCGGCCCTCAGAAGATGGCTATGCGAGCGTTTTATCAGGAGGCTTGCTAGCAGCACCTTGACTGTCTCTGCCTGGGTGTTCCATATCCCATGTTGGAAAGAGGACGGCACCTGAGCCAACCTGGAGGGAAGAAGGGACCCCACCCCCCGGGCCCCACCCCCAGCCCCCAGCCCAAGGCTTGCAGGGCCCACTGGTTTCATTTTCCTGAATGGGGTTGGTGGATCTACCCCTTCTAATGCCACCTTCCAGCCCTGGGTCCGGAGGACTCTTTGAGCCAGAACAGAGGGGTGTAGTGGGTGGGGGTTATCAAAAGAAAAGAAAAAAAAGCATGCGTCTTGCTGTTTAAAAAGACTCAACTCTAAGCAGGCTAAAAACTAAAATGTAGTTTTGATGGCTGGCCAGTCTTTCAGCCCTCCCTTGTGAAACTCAGGGTCTATTAAGCAGTCGGGAAGATGCATCCCCCCCCCTTCACCCACCTAGGGAAGAGGGAGAGAGGGGGAGGCCCTGTTTCCATCCCTGGCTGTTGCTTTCCCGCCATCTGTTGGCCATCCTTGGGGTTGCAGGTTGCAGCCCACAAGGTCAGGCAATCCCAAGGGGAAATGAATGTTCCTGGAGGTGCTGGCACCCTAGAGTGGGCACTAGTTAGTTAAATTAATTGAGAAAGTACAAAATTCCCTCCAAAGGACATTCTTCCAAATTTTCCTTCGTTTCCCCGTCTGTAAAATGGGGATGAGAAACCTACACTTGGTGTCATTTGGTGGGGGGCTGTGAGCAGCAATGTCCCCCAGCTGTCCTTTCCCAAGGGTACCCCCCTATCGGGGCTGGCAAATCCAGTAAGTTTACTTGAGAAAGAAGGACTGAAGTGCAGGCTAGGAGCATTTTAGGGTCTGTTAGGAGATAAATTCCAACCCTTGTTGGGATAATTTTTTTCCATTCCTTCTCTGGCCTCCCTCACCTCCATTCCCTCCTCTCACCACCAAAACATTGGTTCTGAAGGTTTTCTAAGGGTTTGAAAACACTGTATAAACTACGAAGTTCTGGTGTGTGCTGAAGTTATTAGTGTCTCATCCGTGCAGCTTGGCCCACGGGGGCTGAGAATTTGCCCCGAAGGGGATACTGAGCTTCCAGAACTCATGTAGGGTTGTGAGAGCTTTTGGGCAGCAGTGGGAGCCTCTGCCCTGGGCCTGGAATGCTCTTCTTAGGGGCTTCCCTTGATAATCACATCTCAGCTCTTTAGGGAGATCTTCCCAGATTCCCCAAACTAAAGAATCCCCTAATGCCTGGATTTGATTTTAAGTCAACTGCTTTTTCCTTTGCCATTTCTCTCACTAAAAGGGTCTTGTGTAAACACTTGCATGCTGGCTTATGTCCCAACCTTAGAAACTGCTGGGGAACAGAGACCTGCCTTCTGCACTATATCGTCAGGGCCTAGAACAGCGCTTGGCTTGACAGTGAATGAATGAATGGGAGGGTGTGTGGGCGGATGGCTCCAAGGCCTCTCTCCCTCAGTCCCTGCCCAGGGCCCCTCTGTGACCTTTCTGTGTTTCTTCACCCTTGCAGTGAGCATGGAGTTTGGGCGGGCTGTGTGGCTCCGGTTCCACCCATCGGCCTACCCTCCGTGCCCGCACCCCAGCTTTGTGGCGCACTTGGGTGGCGTGGCTGTGGGCATCACCCTGGGCGTGGTGGTCCTGAGGAACTACGAGCAGAGGCTGCAGGACCAGTCGCTGTGGTGGATTTTTGTGGCCATGTACACCATCTTTGTGCTCTTTGCCATCTTCTGGAACATCTTTGCCTACACCCTGCTGGACCTAAAGCTGCCACCACCCCCCTAAGAAGCTGGAGGATCTGAGGGGGGCAGGGAAGAGCAGCATCAGAAAGGTGCATCTGTGTTCTTTATCACATCACCAGCTCAGTGAGGCCGGAAGGAGAGGACAGGAGGTGCTGGGTGGCTGCAATGTTTCTGTTTGGACTTGGAGACACTGAGACTTTTCTGAAAGGCACCTGCTGGAGGAGTTGGAGGTGGCCATTGTTTCTTTAGACTGCTCTGAGGACATCAAGCCAGGGCGAGGGCCTGGGGTGGGTAAGACTGGCCTCCTCCTTGGGCTAGACTTATTCCATGTGTCCCAGGGCCCTTTCCCTTGTCACAGACTAAAACAGCCATCTCCCTCATCGTCCACCTTGAGAGACCTAAGAGACATAAGAAGGACTTGAGGTGGCAGTAGCCAGGCAGGCCCTGTCCAACCCAGAGGTAGTTACAAGCCAGGAGGTATTTCCTCTGCAGCTGTTGTGTCTGGAGCTCTAGAGTGAAGGACCTGGTAGTGGACACAGTGACTTTGGCCTGGGGGAGCCCAGGCCACCCTCCTGTGCCTGTCAGCAGGCACTGAGGCATGGCCTGTCATGCTGGGGTGGGCAGAGAAGGAAGAGGCTGTAACTCCAGTAAGGGAAACCCCAGCAGGAGGGAATAAATTGCATCCTAAGTTCCACCCTAGGAAAGGCCCAATACCAACTTTAGACTGTTGTCTCCCTTTCTCCCAGAATACTGACACCATTGCCCCAGCCTTCATGTCCCGCCTTGTTTATAGGGTCTTTTCTTACCCTTCTACTGCCCTGGCCCCACATTGTGCCTCTCCTTTGGATATGGAGACAGTATTCTGACTACCCGTGTATGTGTGTGTGCGTGTATGTGGCCTAGTAAGCGGAGAAGCCTGTGTGGTGGGAAAGCGGATGTGAGACTGGGGGAGGCTGCAGAGGAAGCTGGTAAGCGGCAGTGGGAGTAAATGAGGAGCTCGAGAGGGTCCTGAGCATCTTTGCTTATTTTAGCAAAGCTTGCCTCCTCCTGGCCCATTCCCCATCCTTCCAAGCCTCTCCCTTGGAATCACTGATGAGGGACTGAACAAGAGAATTGTTCGAGATCAGGCCCTTCCAGGGGCCTTTGGGATGCTGAGGTCTTCCTCACCTTCACCAAGTTCTGCTCTTGTTTCGCTCTGGGATGACTGTCATATATGCAGATTCTGCTCTGTCTCCCTTGAGAGAGAAGGAACTTTGATGGTGTGAGAGAGACTGAGGAAGAACTATGGAAGCCATGTGTTGGTTTGAGTTGGGGGAACAGGAGGAATTTCACATGGTGCGGGAAACTGCTGCTAGAGAAGAATTGATGAGTGTGTGAATGAGTGCGGAATGGAGGGAGGGTGGCCCTGTACCCACGGGGGTGAGTGCAGCTGTACACGCATGCTTAGAGCTGGCAGGGAACTTGGAAATTACCAAGCCCATCCCACCCCCATTTCACTAGTGAGAAAAGAGGAGATCCCAGGCCCAGGCTGCAGCTCCTGGGCTTATGCCTGACAGAGCTTCGGAGTCAGCTAGCCCAGGCATTCAGGGAACTTTGGCTGCTGTGGCTTCCTGAACCCCGTGATCACATGTAAATGAGCAGGGTCTTCTGCCCAGAGACGCCCCCAGTGCACCCCAAGCAATGCCAAGCCCCTTGCCTAATGCTAAATCAATTGTTTTGGTGCCCATATCTTTCTAAGCTGCTGCTACCCTGTGCCAACACTGTGCTGAGGACTGCTGGGTTAAGGTGGGTGGGCCCAGGTGGTGTGGGCTGCATCATTCTGGGGCATCTTGTCTGTGCTGCCAACAACTATCCCCCAAGAGAGAGATGTCGAAAGAAGAGTCAACGTCTTAGTAGAGGGGCCCTGGTCATGGGCTGGAGGGGTCCTGGCCCTTTCTGGGAGGTAGAGACTGTGGGTGCCCTGCTGAGAGGTAGGGCCTCCCCTCCAGATCCTATCCTGGCACCAGGGTGTCCAGGCTTGTGGGCAGTGGGAGCAGAGCCACCCTGCCTTTGTCTGGTGCAACCTAGAAAAGAGCCTTCCTCTCTGAGGGGTAAGACGCCTGCACTGGAAGCTTCTAGAAAGCCCTCCGAGAAGCATCCAGTCCCTCAGGGCTTGAATGGAAGCTTGTTACCCAGGACTGCCTGAGAGGGACATCCCACCTGCCATCCTGTTTGTCCCGGTGGATTGGGACCTACTAAGGGAGCCCCAAGCACATCTCAAGCCACCAGAACTAACTCTGCTTCCCTCAGCAGTGTCCCAAATTTCTTTGGCCTGCTTGACACCCTCCTCCCCCACCCTTCACTTCCAAGCAAGGCCACCCAGTGCTGACAACAGCCACTATTAACTACCCGGGACCAAGACAGCTATCTGCTCAGCTTTGCTTTTCGGTGTGGACTTTGTCCACAGCAGTTGCCTTTCCTCCCTGGCCTCCTGCTCCCCAGTGCACAGCACCTCCTGATAGCCCTCCCTCCCCTCAGTGTGGCGGCCCAGCATGCCCGGAAGTAGAGGGTGGTATGACTCTTCAGGCTGTGGAAAGAAGGAGGCCCTGCACCCACAGGGGTACAGAAATTGAAAGCTGGGGATTCCCCAAACAGCAGCCATAGACTTGCCACTGGTTAAACGGAAGAGAAAACCAAACCTTCAAAGGAGAAATTTTGCTTTAATGACACCATTAATCATTCATTTTTTAATTAGGAAAAGCTCCCTAATGAGGCTCTTTGCCAGCTAATAGAACTCTCAATTTCCATGAGAACCATTCTTGCCCTGAGACTTAGGGGCGTCACTGTTCACCAAGCCTGGGATCTTTCCCAGCATCCAATTTCCTTTGCAAATAATGCAGATTCCTGGTGCAGCGGAAGCCTCTCCTGGCATGGTGGGTGCTGCTCCCAGCACTGGCTGGAGAACACCCCCACACTCCTCTGCCTTAAAAACAGTACCCAGCTCTGAACTTGCCCCCAAGGACTTGAATAAGTGGAAAAATGAAACACAAGCTGCAATGTTTGTTTCTAAATATTTTTGTATTGTGTACATTCTGTATATTTTTGTTGTAACATATTATTTGAGCACAGATTCCATTAAAGATTTTTTTTTTAAGCCATCTGTTACTCAGGAAGTGATCTGAAGTGGGTTGTAGAACCCGTCTCTTCTTGGACTGGGTCAGGGCAGCGGGAGGATCAACAGCAGGGCTGCTGGGTCTACAGTTTTTTTTTTTAAGATGTATTTATTGATGCATACAGAACTGGGGTACAGGCCAGAGGTGAGGGGATGAGAGGATTCACCAGAGACAGAGATGGGAGCACAACAAGCAGATGGACTGAAATACACTGCTGAGGAGCAGCGGGCGGGTCAGCAGAGGTCTGCTGTACCATGTGGGTCAGCTCCCTGGTCGGGGATCGAACTTGTGCTGCAGTGGCTGTGCTTTAACCCAATGCACCAACAGGGAGGGCCCTGGGTCTACAATGTATACAGTGCAGCCCAGGCATTGGTGGTATAGGGAGTTCTAGACTGGTGGTTGAGAATGCAAACAGACTTTTGAGACTGAACTCTTCAGTAGGTGATGAAAGCTATGATTTCCCATATTGACAACTTCATATATATTTTGAGGTCTGGGGGAAGCATGAATAAGGAACTGATCCATGGCTTCCGGTCACAAACCTCTGTGGCCCTGTCTTTCCACTTTTACACCCCTTTCCTCCTTGTGAGAGACTAGTATTATGATATATTATTAGAAGAATCCTTAACATATCTATGTACTTTGTTCTTTGTCCTACTCCTAGTCTTTACGTCTTCCCAAGGGCTGTCAACACCCTCATCTTGACGAGGTATAGGAAGATTCTCAAGGTAAAAAGACATGGTCAGTTCATACACAAAAAGGAAAGGTAAGGGGAGCATAAATGTAATGAGAAGCATCAAAGGTAAGCCTGCTACTTAGTGAGTTTAACAACCAAATGGGCTTTAAATGGATAGAGGCTGAGAAAGTGAATTGTTTTCACTAGTTTTTCTGAGCTAATGGCAGTGTATATAGTTTTGTCACTCATACTGTTAAATTTCCTTTGAGAATTAAATTATCCCATTAACTTCAGTGTGGGAGTTGTTTGCCATAATGTTCTTTCACATCAGTTTCCTGTGTATCCTTTAAGGCTGCAGGAGTCATCCTAGAACAACTTTAGAGAACAGTTCAGACTAAAGGGCAAAGAACCTGCTTATCTGGAATGTGAACTGACCTCCTTAGAGGAAAACTGGGGACCCTCTCTGAGCACCAATGTTCTCACTGGGCAGTTTTAGACCCTAACCCCTGAGCATGCTTTTATCTTTTTTTAAAGATTTATTTATTTATGCACACAGAACTGGGATACAGGCCAGAGGCTTCACCAGAGACAGAGCGGGGAGCAGGACAGGCAGATCGACTGCTGAGGGGAGCAGCAGGAAAGACAGGAGAGGTCTGCTGCACTGTGTGGGTCACCTCCCTGGCTGGGGATTGAACTTTCTCTGAAGAGGGTGTGGCTTAGCTTTGTGGTACCGTACTTTAATGCATGAGCATGGAAAGGTGAGTGCTTTGCCAGCCAAAGACTGTGGTTAGCTTTGCCCTTGACTTCCTGTCATTCCCTCTTCACTTTTGTGGTTCCTCCCTCCTACCAACTTCTCATGGACTTGATAAGTTAAAAACAAAACAAAGCAACAAAAACACTTTGATGGATGTTAATAAAGAAATTAGGAGATAAAATCAATTTACTGCGTTTCTACTATATGCTAGATGAGGCTTGTATGTGCCGGGTGAGGCATTTTCAATATATTCTCATTAAGTCACACAGCTATCTAATGTTAAGTACAGACTAAAGAAAGGCTTAGAAAATTCTCTTTAATAATGTGCTGGATAATACATGGCATCAAATTCACTCCCCAGAGTGTTGCCTGGTTCCAATGGAGTTCATGCTTTTAGCCTCAGGTATTTGTATGGACTTCAAGGACAGTTTTGGGTGCTGTTTAAAATTCAGCCTCACTGTATGAGGCCAGGGACATCTAGTCATAGTAATTACCATGGAATATTCTCTTGATGTTCACTTAATAGGATCTCCACTTGGTCAGCCCTCCTAGAAATATTTATAAGAAAACCTATAGCAGGGCCTCCCTGGTGGCACAAGGGGTTAAGTCTCAGCACTAGGAGTTTGATTCCCCTATCAGGGAGCTGACCCACATTGCATAACAGACCTCTCCTGTATCCCTTGCTGCAGTGTATTTCAGTAGATGTGACTGTTCTGCTCCCTACTCTCTCTCTCTCTCTCTCTCTCTGGTGAATCCTCTCAACCAGCCCCACCCAACACCTCCGGCCTACACCCTAGCTCTTGTATGCATAAATAAATATATCTTAGAAAAAAAAAAAAAAGAACTCCTGGACCCTCCCTGGTGGCATAGTGGGTCAAAGCACAGTACTAAGAAGCTAAAGTACTTCAGCATGAGTTCGATCCCTGCCCGCCCTGGAGGTGACCCACATGGCCTGGCAGACCTCTCCTGACCCGCCCACTGCTCTCCACAGCAGTGTACTTCATCAGTCTGCCTGTTCTACTCCCTATTCTGTCTCTGGTGAATCCTCTCACCGCCCCTGTGTCTCTGGCCTGTACCTCAGTTCTGTATGCATAAATAAATAAATCTTTAAAAAAAAAAACTCCAAGTGGAAAGAATTCATGCAAACCGGGAGGGCGGTTTCCATTACTGAGAAGATACAGGATTAGGACTATGTGGTCCCAATAAGTGAATCTTATTTCCAACAAGCCTGTAGTTTTTCCTGGCATCTGGCATAAGTGATCCTCTGGTAAAGGACAGACATTCTGTCATGGTCAATAATGAATGAAGGACTCAGGTTATTGAGTTCTATGTGCAACTCTGCCAAACAACAACTAAAACCTTGTGATGGAAACTGCTCTTACACACTGTCTGATACAGAAAGGTGTATCCCAGCAGATGACTTGATTTTCTCCAACAAATTCCTTAGCACAGCAACTGTAATTTCCCCATAAACTTGTTGCAAATTAGTAAAAAAAAAGAAACAATCTCACTAAATAAAAATGACTGTGTCGGTGAGAAACTAAGTTGTTATTATTATTATTATTATTATTACAACAAATATAATTACAGATAAACTAAAACCATTTTTTCATGACATACATTTCCTCTGTATAGCATACAAAGAGTACACAAATGTATTCCACAGCTGAACAAATCCTTTTTAAAACTTTACAAGTTATACATTATCAAAATTTGAACACAGTACATGTTTCCGGTCATGAGCTCTGTGAGTTTCTTCTCATGGCCAACAAGATAATCCATATCACCAGTTTCCTCAATGAGAACAGTGATATGCGGCCTGTCACAGACAACACAAGATTGTATTGTACACAACTGTGTAATGCAGTGAGTCTACCATACAAGATATGTATGTGTACATAAGTACATTAAAGAACATATTACATATATCTTGCTTATAATCATAAAGCAATTTGAAGCATTTGCTTTCAAGTATCATTTACAACATGGACTCTTAAATGACCTGTGGATTTGAAAATGAAAACAATCTCCTAGACTCAAAAATGTCAACATCCTAGTCCTGCTTATCAAAAAAATTTGATTTCCAAGTGAGCAACAAAGTACATTTTAAAAAGCCAGATTCAAGGGTAGTATCATAAAATTGCTTATTTACCATAGTTGTTCTGAATTTAATACTATAAAATGTTCTTAGATTTTTTTTCTACACTGTCTACAAATCCAAGTTATTAAAGTTTAAAATCATATGAAAGCCTTTATGAAGATTCTGAATTGTATTTCTCATTAAAGGTAAAGAAATGGCTTGGTGAGTCATGTCCCCAGACTTTTATAGAGGAGAAAGCAGAAGGCTATTGTCAGTCATTTCGAAAGTTAAAGCTCAGCACTTAATGGGAATTTCGATAAGCTGAGAGAAGTTTCCTCAGTTTTACGGGCTCTTATTCCTCTGAGCATCCCGAGGGCAAAGAGAATTCAAAGACTTGATCTTCTAAACAAAAAATCATTATCAAATGGACTTATTAAAGAGCTATGTAGAACAAACCATAACGGTGTGTGTAGCCCCAATCTGCTTCCATGGGAATTATAAATGGCTCTAGCTGAAAGCACTTTCAACCGATTCAGAGTAAAACAATATGAGGCTTGTAGCAAATGTACAAAAAACTAAAATCAATGAGTAACTCTAATATGAAGAATCTGTTTGTGTTCTTTATATTACAGTTTACTTATAAAAGTTATGCCCTTTGTCTCTCTTTTTGACATTGTTTTAAAAATCCCAGCATTTTCATGCAAAGAAAATAAATACCTGTGAATAAATGAAGATGGGAGCCGCACAGATACATCAGATACAGTATTGTATACTGAAGCTCTTTTTAATTTCTTACTGACTCATGATTTGCATACTGACTTAAAAGCTGGTTTTACTGTTCATCATTATCAACCAGACCAGAAAAATCTGTCAAGCACCCACGGGATGCACATACATCTGTCTCTGAGATGGTGTGATGGTGCTAGACTGTCCTAAACTAGGAGTATTTCTTTTAAAGAAGCTGTAATTTATTGACAAGTATTATGATTTTTCTGGGAGGAAAAATTTCTGAATTGCAGCAAACTCCTGGGAAAAGTCACAAAATCACCCCTGAAGTTTTTTAACCAACAACTTCTTAAGTCTGAATTTATGGAGCCAGTGCTAATACTATTAATTCCACAAGTCCAGTACACATTTATATATGACTCAGTGAAATTGTTCCTCAGATTTTTATATTTAATTAAGTTAAAATTTATAAGTAAAAAAATGGACATGTTTAGAATGCATTTCAGATAATCTTAAATAACAATCCTCTGAACAATTATAACAACACCAAGGCTCCAATGTATGACTTCACAATATAATTATCTCAAAACTTATGATCAAAAACTTAGGGAAAGAGTTTCTTTCATAAATTCTTCCAGGACAGCTACCACATTTTTGGCTTCAGGCATTTCTTCATGTTCCACTTTAACGATCTTCAAAAGGATGTCTCCACTACCACAGTTCTTTAGGAACATGTAACATTTAAATAGAGCATAATGATTCATTTCTGCTTGTCGGATAAATCTTTTCAAATTATTTGTGTCTTGTATGGCCTAGAAAAGGATACCAATTAAAGGTCTGTTCAGCAAGAGAATAATCAAGCCAAAAAATATATCCTACCGGGACGTCCCTGGTAGTACAGGAGTTA